ACATTGAAATTTATAAAAAAATGTTTTTATATATATATTATATAATTTTGTGTATTTTTTTTTCTCCCCACAATATATTAAGTTGACTAATTTTGGTCTTTAAAATATTATTATCATGATTTTCTTGATCTAATGAAATAAAACTGATTAAATACAGGGGAAAATCATGTCTATGTGTACTCAGTAACCTTGCAGTTAAAGTGTCCACTTCATAGCGGATAAATAATAGTGTAAAATGTTTCCTTTAGTGTTCAATCTTATTTTCAAGATGATTTAATTGGTCCAGGTATATTCAGAACCTCTTTGGTACTAGAATCTATTAGTAAAATATATGCCAAAACCCAGCAGGAATCTATCTATCTGTCTATATGTTGTACTCCACAGAGACCAAAATGGCTTTAATGCGGACAGGAATCATTTTAAATTGGATGTATTTTTATCAAGTTTGTAAAAAAAAATGTGTCAATATCAGTAAACAGAGGGACAAAGGTTGCTACCATAGGGAGAAATGTACCGGTGTCATGTTGTAGATGTCTGTGTCATCAACAGGGCTATGAGATGACAGGCAAATCATTATAAGAGGCATCAGATGCGTGTAAACGTATTGACAAACATGTTTCCAATTAAGTGTATGAGACAGAGTGATGTCTGAGGTGTGACCAAATCACATATAAGGTGTAATGTATTGCGATGAGATGATGACCGTTACCAAAGTAATGTCATTCTAACTTGAGAAGAAACTTTCGCCACTTCTGTATTTTCTCTTCAACATCTAAGACTACGATTATTGTACAATGATAACTAGAGCATGCTATCAAATGTCTGACTAGCTAGAAATAAGTTTATGATATGAGGGAAGAGCCTCGTGGTCAGTCCTGTCCATTACCTGTCTGACTACCTAGAAATAAGTTTATGATATGAGGGAAGAGCCTCGTCGTCAGTCTTGTCCATTACCTGTCTGGCTACCTAGAAATAAGTTTATGATATCAGGGAAGAATCTCCGGGTCAGTCTTGTCCATTACCTGTCTGACTACCTAGAAATAAGTTTATGATATGAGGGAAGATCCTCGTGGTCAGTCCTGTCCATTACCTGTCTGACTACCTAGAAATAAGTTTATGATATAAGGGAAGAATCTCGTGGTCAGTCTTGTCCATTACCTGTCTGACTAGCTATGAATTTGTGTATGATATGAGGGAAGAGCCTCGGGGTCAGTCTTGTCCACTACCTGTCTGACTAGCTATGGATTTGTGTATGATATGAGGGAAGAGCCTCGGGGTCAGTCTTGTCCACTACCTGTCTGACTAGCTATGTATTTGTGTATGATATGAGGGAAGAGCCTCGGGGTCAGTCTTGTCCACTACCTGTCTGACTAGCTATGTATTTGTGTATGATATGAGGGAAGAGCCTCGTGGTCAGTCTTGTCCATTACCTGTCTGACTAGCTATGTATTTGTGTATGATATGAGGGAAGAGCCTCGTGATCAGTCTTGTCCATTACCTGTATGACTAGCTATACATTTGTGTATGATATGAGAGGAGAGCCTAGTGGTCAGCCTTGTCCATTAACTGTCTGACTAGCTATATATCTGTGTATGATATGAGGGGAGAGCCTTGTGGTCAGTCCTGTCCATTATATGTCTGACTAGCTATATATCTGTGTATGATATAAGGGGAGAGCCTAGTGGTCAGTCCTGTCCATTATATGTCTGACTAGCTATATATCTGTGTATGATATTAGGGGAGAGCCTCGTGGTCAGCCTTGTCCATTACCTGTGTGACTAGCTATATATCTGTGTATGATATGATAGGAGAGCATCATGGCAAGTCTTGTTCATCAACTGTCATCAATCAAATAATACACATTAACATGGACAGATTCTAGAGGTACATCAACCTTCAGATCTACCCTGTAAGACAGGTCCATTTGACTTTCTGCAAACTTTATTACAGACTGATAATCACATTCATACAATGTGCGTGTCTTTACCTTGACAAGGTGTAGGTCAGTTCAAGGTGTCATTACTGGTCAGTTCAAGGTGTTATTGCTGGTCAGTTCAAGGTGACATTGCTGGTCAGTTAAAGGTATCGTTGCTGGTTAGTTCAAGGTGTCATTACTGGTCAGTTCAAGGTGTCATTGCTGGTCAGCTCAAGGTGTGATTATAGATCAATTCAAGGTGTCATTGCTGGTCAGTTTAAGGTGTCATTGCTGGTCAGTTCTATGTAACATTGCTGGTCAGTTCAAGGTGGCATTGCACGCTAGTTCAAGGTGTAATTGCTGGTTAGTTCAAGATGTCATTACTGGTCAGTTCAAGGTGTCATTGCTGGTTAGTTCAAGGTGTGATTATTGGTCAATTCAAGGTATCGTTGCTGGTTAGTTCAAGGTGTGATTATTGGTCAATTCAAGGTATCATTGCTGGTCAGTTTAAGGTGTCATTGCTGGTTAGTTTAAGGTGTCACTGCTAGTTATTTTGAGGTGTCATTGCTGGTTAGTTTAAGGTGTCATTGCTGGTCAGTTCAAAGTGTCATTGCTGGTCAGTTCAAGGTGTCATTGCTGGTTATTTTAAGGTGTCATTGCTTGTCAGTTCAAGGTGTCATTACTGGTCGGTTCAAGGTGTCATTGCTGGTTAGTTTAAGGTGTCATTGCTGGTCAGTTCAAAGTGTGATTATTGGTCAATTCAAGGTGTCATTTCTGGTCAATTCAAGGTGTCAATACCGGTCAGTTTAAGGTGTCATTGCTTGTCAGTTCAAGGTGTCATTACTGGTTGGTTTAAGGTGTCATTGCTGGTCAATTCAAGGTGTCATTACTGGTTAGTTTAAGGTGTCATTGCTGGTCAGTTCAAGGTGTCATTGCTTGTCAGGTCAAGGTGTCATTACTGGTCAGTTCAAGGTGTCATTATTGGTCAATTCAAGGTGTCATTGCTGGTTAGTTCAAGGTGTGATTATTGGTCAATTCAAGGTGTCATTGCTGGTCAGTTCAAGGTGTCATTACTGGTCAGTTCAAGGTGTCAATACTGGTCAGATCAAGGTGTCATTACTGGTCAGTTCATGGTGTGATTATTGGTCAATTCAAGGTGTCATTGCTGGTTAGTTCAAGGTGTCATTACTGGTCAATTCAAGGTGTCATGACTGGTCAGTTCAAGGTGTCATTACTGGTCAGTTCAAAGTTTTCTTACTGCTGAGTTGAAATTGTCATTGCCAATGAGTTCAAGGTCACTGCTAGTCAATTCAAGGTCACTGCTAGTCATGTTCAGTTGTCATATTATAATTACTCATCAGTCTATGGTGCCATTGCTCTATCTAGGAGGCTCCAACACCAAACAAATCTGAATCTGTCAATTCCACTCTAATCTATTCTGATAACTATATAGCATAGCTACTCAAGTTACAAACAGAATCTAAATATATTAACTAGAGTATTCTCTTAACACAATTTTAAAGCTGAATCTAATTTGAGTAAATTCACCAACTAAAACTGCAACTTAACTAAAGTTGAAGAAATAAACATCTGCCTTGAACTAAAAGCCTACATCTAAATAAATCCTCAAAGTAGCTGTAACATCCAATCCCAGTTGAATGGGACCTAACTCAAGCCATTGTATCAGACTACAGTCTACATCTAACTACTTTAGTGATATATATAGTTTTGTTAGTCACTACCAAGAATACATACATGCTATATATACAGTGGTGGACAGAGGGCTTCAGTAGCTGTGATCTGGACACGAGTCATTTGGTCAGTTTTCTAGTTTCTACAGTGTGTTTGTTCAATGGTACCTAAATGTTAGGCCATCTTATCACCTTCCATCCTCGATTATACTGTGAGAATATCTAATCTGTGTGATTGTATGTCAGAAATTCTACCTGTATCACTGGTATGAGTGTTGTATAATGTAAGTTCTGCGAGTGCTAGCTGCCACAACAGGACAGATGCTATTGAAAGTCAATAGGTTTTAGACCATTACTAACAGTCTAACATGTACTATAATGAAGTGTATAAAGCTGATGGATGTTTTCAACTGAACACTTACAACCACATCAGTATCCCACATCTCTAGATAACAAGCTAAGAAACTGGGAGCCAATATCCTGTGCGAAGTTATATTAAAGACTAAAGATTTGACATTGGTAAAATTTATTGAAACGCTTCAAGACATTCAATTTTGTCAATTTTCAGGAGATCTCGCAAATGGGATTGGCTGAAGTTGTGTTTCAATTAGAGTTGTTAGGGGAAAAAATCTCTCCTGACTTGCTGAGGATGACGTAGCTCTGACAATTCTAACCAGTTTTTGTTTACTCCGAAAACACCTGGAGCCGTGAAGGCAGAAACAGCACTATCACACATAAAAAGTCTTTAGTGTCACTAGCATTTAACTGTTTTAGAAGTGAGAATCTACGGTACAGTAATAAATAGAACACAGAGTCAGCGATGAAGAAAACAACAGGGACAGGAAAGGAAAGAATAGCATCCTTTGGGAAACAGTAATTGTATATAAGAACTGTAGTGTTACTCTGTTGAAATGTGACTGCCTCCGGCTGCTTGCCATTACCAGCATAACACTGGCTGTAAATAGCACCAAGTGGTGGCTGTAAATAGCACCAAGTGGCAGACTCCGGAGCAATGCTCATGAATGACTAATACTTATGATGGCTTAATCCAACAAAAACCTCAATAATATATTGATTTTCCTTGCAATTATATTGAATTTATCAACAACTTGTATTAAAATGAGATCATAAATATATAATGAGGATTTCTAGAAGTCAAAGAAATAGCTTCGTGGAGCTGATGTAGCGCTGTCATATTACAGTATGTTATACACAAAATATTTATTCTGCACCTTGAATCTCGTTTGCATGTTGGTAAATACAAATTCTTATGTATGTACATAGTTCTCAAACAAGAGCCTACCATCGATGTACCCACGGTAATGCCCTATTTTAGAGGCAGCAGTCTGTACGGTGGTGTTAGTGAGAGCTAGAGTCAGGGAGAACATTTGTACCTGAGACGCTGCTGTTTCTCTGCCTCCAGGACGTGTAGCTCTTTGCCAGGGATAGCATGGCCGGTCAAGGATCCCTTCCTCGCCTGGTGGGTCATGATCCTCACATTCTGTAACAAAGACGCAAACAGTCATTCACAAAGAAAAACAATACGAGATAACTAAAAACAAATACCTTGGCATAATAAAAATGCTCCAAAAGACTTAACCCTTTCACCACTGTAGACCATAATGGACTCATCCAGATCAACGCATGGTAGAATCTACTAAAGTTACAAAGGGGTGAAAAGGTTAAAAGACTAATTAAATGTTATTGTACATGGGTCCTTGTCAGCTGTGAAACATCCGTATGCATTTGAACTCTGGTGTGTTGTTGGGTGTGGGTAGATTCCCATTATTACGTAAATTGTGTTCAGTCTGATAATATCTGAAGTCTTGCTCTGTCAATCCAAGAAATGTACATTGTATACCAGGAAATGTTTGCTGTAATCTGAATTTTTGCCCTTTTCGCCCTTTGTGACCCAAAATTTCCCAGTATACAGTTTATATATTGGGTCTGATCCATTTATCAGAGCATGTAGAATACAGTACTACAATACTTTACACAAAATTTGTTTTTTTCAAGTTCCTTAACAATGAGAACAAATCAAGTGCAGATTCAAGGATAAAACAGACATTCAAGTGTATCTCTTGTTTTACATGGTCATAGCTGTAATCCGCATTAAGTGAGCAGTTCATGTCTATGTAAATTGAAGATCCAATTTAACAGAAACAAGGATTGGGTGTTGTACATAAAAACAATAAGCTACATGGACTTTACTTAGCTCTCGGACTGACAAGTTTGTAAATCTAGGTGCAAGTCAAAAAGAATGTTGCAATGAATGATAAGAGAGGTCAAATTCGTTTTTTAAGAAGACAGAGGTAAAATTTACTATTTGCATATTTTATGCAGTGTCTGTTCATTCAAACTTTATGTAAAAATCTTTGTGACTAACAAGAAACACATAATGATAAACTAGCTGCCAATTAACTTCAAGATAAGCGAGGTATTAGTGATATTTAAGTTCACAAAAATGAAGTTAAGTGTCATTGCAGGTACAACACTAAATGTGATAAAAGTATATTGAGACTTAAATACTTGAAAATCGTCCAAGGCACATCTGGACTGAACTGTTAAATTCTCTGATGAATCTCCAACAATGGGGTATCACTAGCGAGCAATGTACTCGACCTTGGCCTACCTAGAGAAAGCCATCTGACCCATTTTAAAATCTCTGATATACTTCTGTTCTCCTATCACCATAACTATGTGTTCAGGCAGAAAGATGCCGAAATGTTGACGTGAAAGGTTTTTTAACAACACCATCTGAAAATCACCATATATGGTTTTATTTTCTTCAATTATTGTGACATTAGACACTGAGATAAACAGCATTGACGTCATCAACATAAACTTGACTCCGTCCAGTTTGTAAGTTTAGAGAGCAGCTGAAAGGGATATTGTTTAAAAATAGGTTATTTATGTGTTAACTCCATTGGCCTATGACCTCAACATAGGTAAATACGTCACAAGGGCCTAGATAGCTGCTGCGGCCTCTTCACTTCCAGACAAGAATCTGGATAAGCAATAAAACGTGAAGCCCACAGGGTCTGAATGGAATACATTGGATATCATTTGATCTGGGTAGGACCACAGTATTTGTTAGTGGTTATCCACTGTTATTAGGAGATAATACCATGAATGAAGTGACAGACATTTCTTAACCTTAAATCTTAGCGCATGAAGTAAGCTTTCTGTCACCGAGTTTCATTGCAAACTTAATACCTTGTTTTCTGTCCTTGCATTTTGCTGATTTTTGGGTGCCATGATTTATAAATAGCTTTTTTTTCTTACAATGACCACTTGGAACTTTTAGTTTCCTCTTTTTTTTTCTTTTTTGAGTCCGAAGTCTTTCTTTTCCAATCAAATGTTATTTCGAATAAAGTTCCCTCCCAGTAAGAGTACGATGAGGTCAATCTGGTTTTATAAAATGCACTTGATAAAAGTGCACTTGTAATTTGAAAATTTGACACAAAGGAGGGAAAAAAATGAGGATAATAATTATTGCATGCTATTGTTTGTCATCAAAAGTGACGGTGATCAATCACGAAAGGTCATGATAGCAATTTACTTCTAGAAATTCCTCAGCTTTAGTTAATGTTTGCTTCGTTATGTAATTTGAAATTTGTTATTTTCTATTGATGTGTGTCTATAAATCAGGTGCCAATGAACCGGTAATTGCTTCAATCTTGCAGTAACCCTAACAACCCATGCAGAAGCTATCAACAGTCTGCAATTTGTTGAATGTTAAATTAATGTTGTCTGAGGAATAGCATTAAAGAGCTGTTGGAGGGGTGGCAGCTGTTGATATGAAAATGAAAATGCATACATTTAAAGTGCCAACACAATGAATATGTCATAGCCTGGACAGTTAGTGGCTTGCAGGAAACATTGTTGAATCTGTGGAAGGGACAATTTTGGATTTTCTCTTCAACAAGGAAGCTAGTGACCTTCAGGCTGCAATTAATGTCAGAAAAACATGTTGTATTCCCTTCTTTTTTGTTCAAACATTATAACATTGTAATTAGGGGGAAGGTTTGGGATGCTTGACAGCAGTAACAATATACTTGATAACAGAGCCAGCAACAACAATAAAATTTGTTACTCCATGTAATAACTCCATCAGATAACATACAAACATAGATGGTAGCAGATGTGCTTGTACATTGGGTGGGTGCACACCTGGTTACATAAAAGTCAACACTTTTACCCAATACGAAATTTCATATTTATATATGTGCATACATTTTCAGCTAGAAAGTGTATTGCTGTTGTTATTGCAAAGTAAACATGCACAGACATGGTTATATAAGGAATGCATGCAGGTATTGTCGTCGAAACAGTGGGCAGGTACATGTGCCCTCTACAGGTAGTCAACGATGTGTTGTGGAATATATATAGATGGAATATATCTACACTACTGATGTTTCTCGTATTACCTGTGCAATATTTGAGTTATAACTGACTATTTTATGTCATCCTTTATAAATCAGCCTATATGATGCACTCAACACCCCTGCAAAAATATTTCCAATTCAAAGTCAAGAAAGATAAACAATTTATCTTTTAAAAAAATCCCATACAATGATTGGTATCTCATACAGATGCACTTTTTACTAGTGTTGGGGCGAGGAAGACCGGGAAAGTGTGACATGGTGGTATACAGGCTGTGTGCAGTAGTGTTTTAGCGATCTTTAGAAGTAATTACCCAATCTTAACACCCATGTATTTAGGTAGACTTAGGCTCCTTATAATTGTTTCGGCTTGAAACAGTTCCAGTTTTTTGTGAAATTAGTTAAAGAGAGTTGCAGATGCACCAGGCCTCCTGGGATTTGAAGGAGGTTAGTATGAAGCAAACAGCCCAATCTCAATGGCTCTCTATATATACTGGGTGAATCAATGGGGCACACAACTTATCACAATTTAACTCATTTACCCTGAAATTTCATAATGAACTATTCTAACCTTTGAATTGGAAGAGCTCAAATGTGTTTTCAGGACTGAATGAGTTAGGCACCAAAATTATTTATTGGACAGTGTTCGACACAAACACAAATTAATATATTGTATAAAAATAGTAGTGTAACAGGAGAGAGAAATTCTTGGCCAGACTAGGATTTGAACCCAAGACCTTCTGGATGTTCTACCAGTTGAGCTACTGCACCTGGTTACCTGTGTGATTGACCAAGTCCAGTTCCACTTACAGTAGATATCAATTAGTTCTTAGTTAATCATCCAGACTTAAGTCTCTAAGACCTTTCTCTAATAACTTTATCATTTGATTAAGAGATTAACAGATCTTTTTTTTAACTTCTTAATACACAGGAATTTCAAGTGCAGATAGTCAATGTTTTTTCCAGGACATCACATACATCTACTAGTAACACTGAGGTTGTTACCTTCAGTCGTAAGATCTTCAACTAGTAACACTAAGGATGTTACCTTCAGCCGTAAGATCTTCATCTAGAAACACTGAAGATGTTACCTTCAGCCTCAAGATCTTCATCTAGAAACACTGAGGATGTTACCTTCAGTCGTAAGATCATCAACTAGTAACACTGAGGATGTTATCTTCAGCTGTAAGATCTTCAACTAGTTCCACTGAGGATGTTACCTTCAGCCGTAAGATCTTCAACTAGAAACACTGAGGATGATACCTTCAGTCGTAAGATCTTCAACTAGTAACACTAAGGATGTTACCTTCAGTCGTTAGATCTTCAACTAGAAACACTGAGGTTGTTACCTTCAGTCGTTAGATCTTCAACTAGTAATACTGAGGATGTTACCTTCAGTCGTAAGATCTTCAACTAGAAACACTAAGGATGTTACCTTCAGCCGTAAGATCTTCAACTAGAAACACTGAGGTTGTTACCTTCAGTCGTAAGATCTCCAACTAGTAACACTGAGGATGTTACCTTCAGTAAAGATCTTCAACTAGTAACACTGAGGATTTTACCTTCAGCCGTAAGATCTTCAACTAGTAACACTGAGGATGTTACCTTCAGTCGTAAGATCATCAACTAGTAACACTGAGGATGTTACCTTCAGTTGTAAGATCTTCAACTAGTAACACTGAGGATGTTACCTTCAGCCGTAAGATCTTCAACTAGAAACACTAAGGATGTTACCTTCAGTTGTAAGATCTTCAACTAGTAACACTGAGCTTGTACTCTTTATCAAACACTATCCTTTGGACTACCATGTAAACAGTTGTAAGTATTTAACCCTGTTGGAGCATAAGATTTCTTGTTTTTTTTCTGTAGCAACATTTAATGGACAAGCATTGCTATCTGTCACACTGTTCATCAAGTCTTTGATCTGTACGTATGAAGCTGTGTAAGGCTATGTAGGCCAACACTTCGATGTTTGTCGCCAAAAATTATTGAAGCATTCATGAGTTTGCATCAATTATTTACTCCCCGACCTAATTATGAGATCCTTTATCAACAGAAGTTCTCATCTCCAATCGCGAAATCTGCTCAGATGAAGGAAAGGTCCTTTTATACACGA